ACATTTATGTATGAAGCTAAGGTTGCTTTCCCTCAAGACATAGATTGTTTTGTGTTTACCTACATTTAATTTTATTTGCTGTTTTACTGTCCAGTTAGTCTCATAAGGGTCTTCTGTGATTCCGTGCAGTTTCCTGTTATCCTTGGTATCTTAAATAACCCTCTAGCATCAGCAAACTTTGAAGCTAAAAGTTTGAGCTGTGGACATTATAAATGTAGAGAATTCTGTCTCTTAGTATGTAGCTTATTTCATATCCCAGACCTTAAGTTGCTGGTGACTATACTGTCTTGCCTGCAGAGACTTGGGGAAGTTCTGAATCTGTGTTTTACAGGGGGTTGAACAGGCTGTATTTCATAATCTTTTCTTCACAGTTCTGCCTTTCGGGACTGTGTAAGTGACCTAAAAATGTCATTCCCTAATTATTTGGGCAAAAGTTGTCAGCCTTGAACTTAAACTCAAACTCAACCAAAGAACTTGTACAAATAGAGAGTGAAAGTGTACTGACTCCATTGCTCTTAGATGTGAATATTTCTATTTGTATTTGATGTTTCCGAAATGCTCAGTATCCTCAAATTTGAGGGATCCGTTGTTTTTATTTTTCTGGAACTCTTAAAAGATAATTCTAAGATTATTTATCATTTTCTTAATAATTCACAATTTTTTAATGGATAAAACTGCTTCATACCTCTTGATACTTTATATTTTCAGCTAAAGGCAAAAGGCTAATACCTTCTTTGCTGCTTAACTCTCTCTCACCTTACAGACATAGGAAGCTATTTTTTATACTCTTGTAATTGAGCCTTACTTTTGTGACAGCAATACTAGCATAAATAAGCATATTAAATAATGGAGGAGATTAAAATAATCACAGTAAGAAATCATACCCCCCCTTCACTTTTCAGGTTTCTAAAGAGTACATAAGAGTAACCCTGAAAGCATTTCATGTTGGCTGGGTGGATGTATCATATCAGTTTACAGTAAAGAGCAGAGCCATGCTATTGGGCAAAACACTTTTAAATTATTATTTATGGAGTTGTATTTGCAGTTGGTATAAAATGCAGGACTGGTTTCACATGCCTCCACCAGAGCAAGGAGAGCACGCTCCTGAACAAGATTCTCTTTTGTTTCCTGTACTATGTGTGCTGTGGAAAGAGAGACGTCTGGGAAAGGATACAGGTTAGAGCGAATAGTTACATTTGAGTTTAGGAATGCAGTCTTTCTATCTGATATTTTGGGCTTGTTTTGGCTTTTTTCCATCCTGATTAATTTTATAATTGATACTGTAGTGCTAGCATTAATCAAATGTTTTCCAGTAACATCTGTTGATAGATGAGTATTTTGTTTAGTAGTATGATATAAGGGACCTCTGAAAGTCTTTCCTGACTGTCTCATGGAGTTACAACTCTTAATTCCACTGCAACTTCTTAGTGTTAAGCTTCTACTTCACTCTTTTTTTCCCCCGTTTTTTTTGAGGTGGGAGGAATTGTGTGTAAAGGGAGAGGAAGTCTTCAGTAATTCCTTCTTTCTCCCTAGGGCAAAATATAAACTACAGTTTTATATGCAGTATTTGCTTTTTAAAACAATAGTGAAATAATATTTTAGCTCTCATTTGAAATATTAGTGTTGTGTGTTAATCTTCAGAAAGTTTCATTTGGCTAGTAAGCATTTTATTTCTTATTTAAAATTTAGTGTTGGGCAGAGACAAATTTATTGTTGGTTCCTAATACTGTGTCTTCCGAAGGAATGTGATGTTCTTCTTTAGAAGCATAAAGGTAGTCTTTATCTGTGATATCTGCCTTTTGAGAAACTGGGTGAAGTAAGGCTTTTTCCACTTAAAATTGAACAATATGGATGTCTTCTGTTTTCAGTGCTGAAACCCCATCCTCTTTTTCCTTCCTGGAGAAGGTGGGAGGGGAGAATTTGGCACCAAGAGGTCATAAATTCACTTTAGGAGTGAGCAGCTGCTTTTAGAACCTGTAATGCTAATTAATGTCTGGTCCTTATTTTAAGTTGTTGGACTCATTTGTATCTTTTTCTCAGTTTTTAAACTGTAATGACACAATCTTCTTTCAGTAAGAAAGTAACTACTGGAGCTTAGTTTCTCTGGAAAAAAACAGGAACAGTGGTACTTAACCCTCCCTGTCCTCTAAGAATCTTTGAAGTTTCTACCTTTGAGTTTCAGTAAATCACAAATAGTGTTTTTCAATGTCAAATTTATGGATATTTTAAAATAATGCTGTAATGAAACATGAGGATTATACTTAGTTACTTATCATTTATTTCATTTATCATTTATTATTTCACTTATTTACATCACTTTGCTATGCAGTTTCTGTTCTTGAAGCAAATACTGTTGCATGTTTTCAGGAACACTTCTAAAACATGCAGTTTTTAAAAAATCCATTATGGATGAGAAACACTTGACTTCACACAGTCTTTTGTCACTGATGACCTCTGTGATATATTCATAAGAATATAAATGGTTTGTATTGTAAAAGCTAATGTTAGCCTGTATTTCTTTTTGAGATTATACATCCAGTGGATTATGTTACTATATTACTTGCTATAATAAGCAGATCCCAAATGTATTGATCTTTTACTGTGCATGCAAAGATCATGTGTGCAATATGTATCTGGCATGTTGTAAGATGTGTTAGACTTGATGAATGTGCTCTGTAGGCTTGATAAATGTGTATTGCAAATGGCCATTGCTGCATGTATGCAGGCCAGCTGGAGCTACTGCTTTATCTAGATTGCCAGACAAGGTTGTCAAGCTCTGCCCAAGTGTATATATACTATATATAGATATATATATATCTGCCCAAGTGTATATGACTATATAGTCATATATATATGTGTAGTCATATCATTGCCAGTACCCTAACCTTCGTTATAGCACTGGTTTTCCAGCTCTATGAGCTGTCAAAAAGCTGTGGTTTTGATTTACTGGATTTGTTGCATGAGTATAGTTTTTGTCTTTGAGGTAATTCTTTAAATGCAGTCAGCTTCACAACAAGCTGTGCACTGAAAAATCATTTCATTATTTCTCAAGCATCCTATGGGCAACTTTTCTTATGTAGTCTGTAGAACATCAAAATATCATTCAATAGTAATGATGCCAGTTTTCCTAAACAACTCTATCCTCTTTGGTCTTTTCAGTTTTAGTTTTCAATTGAATAAGATCAAAAGCACAAGTAAGTGTTCAACTCATAAACATGAAAAAGGCAAGAAATGTAAGTGTGGCAACTTGGTCCTACCTGTAAATATTAGCATCTGCTTCTGGAATCTAGTAGGCAGTTGTACCACTTAAAATTATGTGTGTATAGCAAACATATTACCTTCATGGGGCTTTTGTTTGGGTTTGGTTTTCTTAGGAGTGTCTCATTTCAAATTATCTCTCAGTTATTTAATCTTCTGTGAAGGCGTTCTGATTACTGGTAGCTGTATGGCAGGACCGGTGCATTTTTGACATTCTGATGATGAAACTGCAGCAGCAAACAAAGTTTTCTGTGTCTGTTCATGCCAGCTTTCAGAACTAAAGGGAATCTGGAAGCTATAAACAAATGCTTTCAGTGTCTTAAAATGAAACTTCCTGTTGCTTCTGTTAACAGCACTTAGGGGTCTGAGGATGCAAAACTCCTGGAGTTTTACTGATTTTGATAAAAGTCAGACTTAAAATATATTTGTGTGCAGCTGAGGTGCTGATGGGGAGGAAGAAGCATGTGTTAGTGTATGGTGTTAATTTCGTTAGCTGAAATGAATTAGTACTGATCACTGTGTTTTTGTGTAGCACATCTCATGCACTCAATCATCATTCTGCTTTTTGTGCTTTTGAAATGCTTCACTTTTTAAGAGATGGAAACAACTAGATGTGTTTCATGTTTCTAATGAGCCACAGGATATTGGGCTCAGATAAACCTGATCACTTAGTTCCACCCAGAATCTGTAAGACTGAAAGGCGAGTGGAAGTTTCCTCCTCTTAATCTTCCATCCTGTGTCTTCTAACTCAGGGGAGACAAAGAAAACAGCTGCCAACTATCCCACTCTTGCAAGAGGGAAGAAGGTACCAATGTGACTAGTCCTTCTGGTAGTCCTCCATGCTTCAAGTTGTGGCAGTTGGACAGTCTACCCTTTCTTAGGCTGTCTTCCAGAATTAGCAGTTCTTTGTGATAACTGCAGTGTTCAGCTCTGCTGGAGCTGCTCCTGGTTTGAGTAAAGTCAGCTTTGTTTTCCAGGGTTTCATTTATTTGCTCATGGTTGGAATGACAGTATTGACAGTTGTCTGCTATTTGAGAAAACTTGAAGGCAAGGTGAAGATGCTGAAGTGTCCTGACTGTAGACCATGGAACACCGTGGGTTACTTCTGGTTTCTTCTTGGAGATAATCCTCATAATCATATGACTAGTAATAAATTTTGTAAAATCCCATGTGTTACTTAATGTGATTTTTAATAATAAATGGTTTCAGGGAATCTGAATTTTTCAACTTCTTTTAATTTTTATAAAATACTTTTTTCTCTGCAACTGCTGTTACTCTCTCAGTACTTTAGTTACCAAGCTGGTGGTAATCTTTTCTCAGATCCAGTGTTGTTGGTAGTCAGGCTGTTGCCTGATTACTCCCACGGTATTTTCCTTCCCACAGTCAGAAATAAAGAACATTGCTGCCCTAATAAGCCTTTCTTTTGCTAGCTAACGAATGAACTCAGCAACATGGGTCACTTATAAAATATCCTCAGTTCAGTGCCATTTGTGGAAAGAGAATTGAAAAAAAAAAATCTAATTTGGAGTGGAGCTGTAGGAAGCACTTAGTTCTTGGTAAAAATCCCTTTTTTAAAAAAGCAGAAAACATTGGTCAGTCACGTGCATTTTGTTTGGCTCTAATTTGTGGTCTTTACTGCTATTGTGAACTTCTGGTCTTAAATATAGCATTATAAAAAAGACATTGCTTTTCATTTGTATTTTATATTTAAAATTTTTTTTCTTTCTGCTTGTAGATTTGTTTGTAAATGCATCATAAACAGACAGCCCAGAATGAAGAAAGCAAGCAGGAGTGTTGGCTCGGTGCCCAAAGTGCCTGGAGTAAATAAAACTCAAACAACTGAAAAAGCCAAACCAGAAAACGGCTCCTCAGTGTCTGCAGTAACAAAACTCCCCAAAACCGGGACATCAGCATCTCTTTTGAAGGTATAGAATGTTCTGATTATTTATATTTTTTACAATAAAGCTTTAAAAAGAGTAGAATTTTAAGGCATATCTTTAATGCAGCTTAGACGAGAGATTTTTTGTATGGGTAACTGAAGGGAATTTGGGTAGTTACACAGCACTGGCCAGGGTAATAGGACCTTGTGTGGCATTCATGCTGTATTTTTCACACTGCAGTGTGTGATGTGATGGAAAGCAATATACTTTGCAGAACTTGGCTATTCTGCAAAGGGAGAGTGGAAGTTGCATTCTGATGAATGTTAGTAGTAGTGTCATGTGTTACACTTGAATGGTGTGTCAGTGACTAATGGGATTTGATAAGAGCTATTTATGAATTCTGAAAAAAGAACTAATGAGGTATCTAACATGAGAAACTTTTTGATATCAGTGGTCCGTGTAAGGTCAGTGCAGCTGCATTCTTCTAGCTGTTTTGGCCTTTGCTTTGTGTGAAGTACTACTTGAACTGAATTTTCACAAGTTGATTCTTGCTCCTAGAACAAGTTCAAAGGTAGAGGTTTTCTCTTGTATTAGCAAAACAAGGCAGTGGATTTAGGAGTGTATGGTTTTCAACAACCAAGAAAAATAAGACATACTGAGGTGTGCTGGTGTGGGGTTTTCACCTGGGAGCAAACACATGTGGATTGGACGGATGGTATCAGCCTGCCTGGTCTGCCTCCCTCTCCTGGCATGGAAACATGGCTGGATGGACCCACCTCCTTTTGCCTTTCTGCAGCCCAGTATGCAGAGCTGTGGCGCTGCTGCTGCTGCCCTGGAGCAAATGAACAGAACAAGGAAAAGGGCTGGTGTCGGCAGCTGGGACCTGAACCACTGTCACCTACAGGAAGCCAGATAGGCCATTTTAAATAACTGGCAAATAAAGACCTAAAATTAAAAAGTGGTAAGGCTTGAGGTCTCTCTGTAGTAGCTGTGCAGGATTACTGAAGTAAAAAGGTGTGTTCCCTTTCTCTCTTTTCTTCTTGCTTTTCTTTTATGAAAGAATGGTTAATACTTTTGCTGATGAACTTGCGAGCCAGGTTTCATCGAGATTTTCTCCCGGTGCTCCCCCTTTCCTCTGCCACCCACCGTATCTTGCAGTTTTCTTATCTTTAATCTTTTGATGCTTGTTGACGCTACTTATTTTGTATTCCTAGAAACCTCTCAAAGAATACGGAAACAACAGTCCTTTGTAGTTTACTTACCGAGTTTCTTATGTTATACCTCTCAATAAGATAAAGGAGGAGAATGATCTAACACTGAAGAAATTTGACCCATTATGTTTTCACAATTTTAGTTATATTGGTAACACTTCTGGCTATGTTTGGGTGTAGGATTAGAATTTATGACAATTGTATGTTTGAGGCACAATGAAAATTACTAAGACTTCTCTCAGCTTCATGTTACAGCCAGGCTTACTCATACAGTTGGTTGTCTTTTACTTGTTAAGCTGCTGTTGTGCCAACTATGTGACTGAATAATAATGACGACTCTTGCCTTTTTGCTTGTTCCATACTTATACAACAAAGTTAGTTGTTTGTATTTTTTTGACTTACAGATATTGGCACATTACATCTATAATTACTGGCTTGAAAGAAGTATCAATAATAAGTTGTATTGTTTTTAAAATAATTTTTTGTATAGTTTTATATTTGATCTTGCTGATGAAGCATTTGATACATTGTTTTCCTCATAGTGGTTGTAGGATCTTCTCTTAGACTTGATGAATTGGTGTGTGTATTATGAATTTGATTTAATATTCCTTGACAAAAAGACCCCAACCATAGCTAGAATTAAATAACTTGAATTGCAACAGCTTACTAATTTATTCGATCCTCAAAGTAAGTGTGCATATAGATACAGAAAACTTTGAGTAGGATATTGAATGAAAAGCCACCTATTAAGGACTAGAAATACACAGTTACACCAATCTTAATTCAGTCAGTAATAATGCTGAGAAATTGAAAATGACTTTCTAATTATAGTATGGTTTTTTTCTTATCCCCTTCATGATATAACTATAGGCTGGTGTTCAGCTTTGGGTGGGTTTCTTTCACTATGCATTGTTCCATAGATTTGTCCTGTTTGCGCTGAGTTTTCAAAGTGTGTGGACAATGAGGACAGGAAGAAACTGTGAGACCCACCCTTCTGTACAGCTGAACACTGTTCCAGAGGTCGGTTGGTCTGTCTGCTTCAGAATGCCTTTTTATAGGTTACTTTTTCGTAGGTTTTTGGCTCCCACTTTGCCCAGGACTTTTGTAAATGTTCAGCAACCCCCACCACCCCACACACGGTATGACAGCAGAAAGTTAACTGCCAGCCACTTCTAGTTTTTAATCTGTCAAAAAATACTGTGCAAATAACAATGTGTTCTTATTTTCAAGATTTTTTTTTTTTACTTCTTTAGCTAATGAGCTTGTGATCATGCTAACACTCACAACTGTAATTAGATGGCAGCTGTACTTCATACAAATGAATTGCAAAATCCAGTGTCCCTGAAAAGCTAGGGCTTGGACACCAACATTTGAATATTAAAACTTAGAATATGTTTTCAGTATTCATGTGTCTAGGCTTCAGTATTCTGTTTGCAAAATGAAATAACTTAATTACAGATTGTTGTGAAGTTTGATGTTTCAAATGCAGCAAGAGCAAGCATCAAAGAAAATCCCAGGTAGGAATAATTAGATATATATATAAAAATGGATTTGAATGAGGTGCAGTAAATAGGATATACATGTTGAGAAACTAAGATGAAATGAATTGTAGAGGTGATCATTCAAGTTTCATTGCACTGAAAGAAAGATGTGGGGGAAAATGAAATATGAATCGTATAATTATAAAGAGCTTTTTTATGTAGAGAATCAAAATAGGTGTGGATGAGCATTTCTAATTATGATATTTTCTAATTTTTCATATTTTAATATAGGGATTTTAATGCTAAGCAGGATTGCACTGTTTTCAGTAAATGGGAGAAACTGTTCTTCCTTGAGGAAAAAGCTATTTAATAAACATATGACATTGATTTTGCTTTCATTAAAAAATATACAGTATGAAAATTTGAAACTTTGATTTTTAAAGTCAAGAATGGTTGCCATTATGGAGCGTTAAGAAAAGAGAGCTGCTGCTTTGTAATTTTTCCAAAGCTTTGCTGAATAGTTTTCTTTGCCAAGAGTATAGTGTTACAGTTTTGAGAAACTTTGCTAATTGGCTGCAGAGGAGGCAGCGCCTTCCAACCTAGACTAGGAATAGTTTATGGGTAGGTCAGAAGAAGAATGGCTGTCTTAAATTCCTTTGTTAGCAAGGACTGGAGCTGACTAATGTCAGAAAGTGTGTATTTTACTTAGCATTTTTTTTTTTTCTTCAAACTGAGTCACATCTTGACCTATTTGGCTTGATAACATGTACTTGTACTATAAGTGTCTAAAAGCTTAATCTGATTTCCCCACTCTTTCAACAGGATAAAAACGCTGACAGCTAGTAGTTTGTTTGAACTATCATGTTTGCTAACTGATTGGCAGATTCAGTGTTAAAATAGAAAATCACTGTTCTATGCCTTTTTGTAATATCTTGTTTTAGGTGATAGTTGCATTACAAGGTTGTTTCCCTCCCCCTCTACCCCCATGCCCACAAAATTAGTTTAGATCAGATACGAAATCTGATTACATTACAGGTTAACAGAGGATTGTCATATAGTAGTAGTATGTGCTCAGCTCTTTCCCCCTGCACCAGTAGTGTGGGCTTTGTCAATTTTGTAGCTCTCCAACATTTTTATTTTCCCGTTGGTACTACATTGCATCCACTGTTTTGCACAGCTGTGTGACATAGCAGGTCAAGGAACTGATCTGGCTCCTGGGAGGAAGGAGCCCTTTGAAAAGGCTTCAGTTTGCACAGCACAGTATGTAAGTGCATGGAGAAGAGCGGGATAGAACAACAGTGGCTTTTTCATAGCAGAAAAGCCAATTTAGATGCACATCAAACTAGAGCCTCAGAGTAATGTGTTTTCTTCCAGCCTTTTATAAACCTTTTTAGAAGGTTATACCATTTCCTACATGATTCAATAAAAACATTCTTGTCCTAGAGGATTTTACCCTTACAAATACCTGTTTCTATCTGTAAATTATCTGTATTTCTAACAACTGCATGCAGAACAAATATGTTCTCTTTCCAAGCTCCCTTTTGTTTTGCAGCTGCTCTTCTTTTTAAGTGGCACAAATGTCATCCGTGCCCTTTCCACAATATCGTGATCAGTGTTCCTAACTGTTCTGAAATTCGCACTTGCAAAAAGAAACTGTATAGAATGGAGTGACAGGCAACTTTTTTTTAATTAAGCACGTGTACCTTCATTATTAATGTATAGAATCATCATATCTGGCATATAGTTTTTAACATGAATATGTATGGGAGCTAGAAGTTATAAACCTGCAGAATTTGAACGTCATGGTGTAAAGTAACTGGTTAAAGTCCTAAGCACTACCTTCTGGCTGGGATGCTGGTTGAGATTTCAAATGTGTTATCCAGCTGAATAATACAGTTACTTAAGGAATGCAGCTAAAACAGCTGTTTTATTTTAATTTTTCTTGCCCTTATAATAGGAAGAATGTTTAGCATATTTTGATTGTTTCTCCATTTGAAAAATTGCATTTTAAAGAGTTGTAAAGTCTGCCAATTAATGCTTAAGAACTTAGTATTTCTGAGTTTGCTTTATTCTAAAAGATGTGTTCTCTATTTGGGAATCCAGTTCTTGAGACTCCTGTGCTTACTGCCTTGTCACATTCCACGCGGCTTTTGTGGCTAACAGTAGTTTCAGGAATGATCATACGAGGTCAGACAAAAAGTCCATCAAACAAATATCCCATCTCTGAGAGTGCTTAGCAAAGAGCGTGAAAACAAGGCAAGGATATATGGTGAGGGTGGCTTTTTCCCCGCCCATGAATACTGTCCTAGTATGTAGTGATTTGTGGCTTAGTATTTTGAGCTAGAAAGGGTATTTTATTAGTGTTGGATTGATTTTTGTTGTTGTTTGGTTTGATCTTTTTGTTGTGAACTTGTCCATCAGAAAATGCTTGATTGTATTCTATTGAAGGACATTATACTAACTTCCAAGTATTTGCTGGTTTAATTATCTAAGAATTGTTTTCATTTTTATGCTTAAGCAAACTTTCAGTCAAAATTGAGAAGTGTTACTGTGTTGTGTTACTGTGCTTTTCTTAATTTTTTTTTTTCTCCTTGGTATTGAAACATTGATCATTTTGTCTGGAAGAGAGAAGACTCAGTTTCTATGGTCAAATCATATGTAAGGAATTAAAGTCCAGTTTCAACTTACCAACTCTGCACAGTGCAGTGCATTTATACTTTTCAACATTCTTGCACAGACGCATGACTAGTCAAATATGTACTTAAACTGATGGAATCTTTAACAGAAGAAATGTTGGCTATGCAGACTTCTCAGCCAGCTGTCTTAAAGCTGCTTCTTCCCTTTCTTTCAGACTAAGAGTAATGATGACCTCTTAGCAGGGATGGCTGGTGGCGGTGGAGTGACAATGACCAATGGCGTCAAGGCAAAGAAGAACACTTGTGTATCAACAGCATCTTCAGCTTCAGGGACGACCATGAACAGTCTGGAAAATAAACCCAAAACTATTACAGGTAAATGGATATGTTGATCCTTAAAGATGGTAGTTGGGTGGCTTTTTATTTTCCTATTATGTATTGAGGCTGCTTAATGAAGTGGTCAATTAGGCCACAGTCAAATCAAACAACTCGTGTGCTCTTTTCCTGTTTAATAATGTAATTACCTTTTTGGAGGATGTTCCTTTTAATTTTTTCAGTACTGATGATGCAACTACTATATAAAACTAGATAATATAATTAATGTAATCATAGATTTATCTAAAATAATTTAATTTGCTTAAAAAAAAATCCATGCCACAACCACTAAATCTTTAAGATGTGATCACTTGTTGCAGTCAACATTTTGGACATTCTGTATTGCTTTACAGAAATAAAGTAAGAGGGCTTTCAGAAACTGTTCAGAAAAGTGAAATTATTTAGTGTGTTATCAATATGGATGGAAATATATCTTGCCTTCCATTGCTATGTTTTGGATTCAGTAATGCTTGCAAAGCTGTAAAGCGTCTGGAAATAAAGTAGTAATAATCTCTCCTCGTCCTTATGAAATGAGATTAAAATACAAAAAACCTTAACTTTCGTTTTGGGGAATCATAATATGCAATTCGTCACTTAAAAGCTTGCATTCAAATCTATTGAAGAGAGAGACAAATTTGAACTTGTAGGAATAGCACTGTTGCAGTTTTTGTACAATTTATCAGAAGCTGTTGAAGACAGAAAAAAAGAAACTTGCAAATGTTAAACTTCAAGGTCTAACTCATTTTCAAAATAATGGTAAAGCATAGCAATTGGTAAAGCATGTATCAATTAAAATATAACTGCACTGATTCATGATTAAGGTTGTATAAATGTGTACTTTAAATGTATTTTATGAACTGTATTTACCAGTGTGATTCAGAAAATCATCCACTATATTGCTGGTAAAAAATACACAGCCTTCTATTACAGATACTGTATTTTAATTTAACGTTCCTAACTTTCAGAGAAACATATAGGTACAAGTTCTACAACTAAGCGTAGCACTTCATCTGGAAATAAAGAGTCAAGTTCTTCTAGAGAAAGAATACGCGATCGTTCTCGTTTAAGCCAGAGCAAAAAGCTACCTTTGACTGGACAGGGGACCAATGATACGGTACTGGCAAAACGCTCCCGTAGTCGCACCAATCCAGAATCAGATATTCGAATGAGCAAGTCCAAATCGGACAATCAAATCAGTGACAAAGCTGCATTGGAAGCAAAGGTGAATGATCTTTTGACATTAGCAAAAACTAAAGATGTGGAAATCTTGCATCTGAGGAATGAACTAAGGGATATGCGTGCTCAGCTAGGACTTAACGAAGATCAACTTGAAGGTGATGAAAAATCTGAAGAAAAAGAGGCCATTGTTGTCCATCAGCCAACTGATGTAGAGTCTACGTTGCTACAGTTACAGGAACAAAACACTGCCATCCGAGAAGAGCTGAACCAGCTGAAGAATGAGAATCGAATGTTAAAAGACAGGCTAAATGCATTAGGCTTTTCTTTGGAACAAAGGCTGGACAACTCTGAAAAACTCTTTGGCTATCAGTCTTTGAGTCCAGAGATTGCAGCTGGCAACCACAGTGATGGTGGTGGTACTTTGACATCTTCAGTGGAAGGTTCTGCTCCTGGATCAATGGAAGACTTGTTAAGTCAGGATGAAAACACTTTGATGGACAACCAACATAGTAATTCCATGGATAATTTAGACAGTGAGTGCAGTGAAGTTTATCAGCCACTGACATCAAGCGATGATGCCTTAGATGCTCCATCGTCTTCTGAGTCTGAAGGCGTACCAAGTATAGAAAGATCTAGGAAAGGAAGCAGTGGCAATGCAAGTGAAGTGTCTGTAGCCTGTCTGACAGAACGGATACATCAGATGGAAGAGAATCAACACAGTACAGCTGAAGAGCTCCAAGCCACACTTCAAGAGCTTGCAGATTTGCAACAAATAACACAAGAGCTAAACAGTGAGAATGAAAGACTTGGAGAGGAAAAAGTAATCCTTATGGAATCTTTGTGCCAGCAAAGTGACAAATTAGAACACTTCAGCCGTCAGATCGAGTATTTTCGATCCCTTTTAGATGAACACCATATTTCATATGTAATTGATGAGGATATGAAAAGTGGTCGCTACATGGAGTTAGAGCAACGTTATATGGACCTTGCAGAGAACGCTCGGTTTGAGCGAGAGCAGCTGTTAGGTGTTCAGCAGCACTTGAGCAACACTTTGAAGATGGCAGAACAAGACAACAAAGAGGCCCAAGAAATGATAGGGGCATTAAAAGAACGAAATCATCACATGGAACGGATTATTGAGTCAGAGCAGAAAAGCAAAACTGCGATAGCATCTACCTTAGAGGAGTACAAAGCCACAGTAGCCAGTGACCAGATTGAGATGAACAGGCTGAAAGCTCAGTTAGAGCATGAAAAGCAGAAAGTGGCTGAGTTGTATTCGATACACAACTCTGGAGATAAATCAGATATACAAGATTTGCTGGAGAGTGTCAGGCTGGATAAAGAAAAAGCAGAGGCATTGGCCAGTAGTCTGCAAGAAGAGCTGGCACACACTCGCAATGATGCCAATCGATTGCAAGATGCCATTGCTAAGGTAGTGTTTAAAACAAACTGTTGTATTTTAACATCCCGTATACACCATGACTTACTGTTGGCCACTGTAGTTATTTTAGAAGTAAAGGATTAATTACAAGGGTAATCGAATTGCAATAGTATTAGAATTGATTACTTTCTCTTAACCTTTGTTATGAAAATGACGGAGGCCTTTTTAAAAATTATATGGATACATTCAGCCACAGGGTAACTGTCATGTTACTTTTTAAAAATACTGGTATTTAAATTGCACAACTTATTTCAAGGCCAAACTTAAACAGTATTTAAGGTACTGCATGAATTTTGTGTTTAAGTTGCATGCCTTCTGCAAGAGTTTCAAGGAGTTAGTGCCAAACTGGTGGAAGAGGGATGTCACTGAGAAAGTACTGGGAGTCAAAGTTTGAAGTGATAACCCAGCTACTGATGACTTGTAGGACCTTTCACAGGTGTTGAGAGAATATTTTGAAGTTTCAGCTTATTCAAGTTGGTTTGGTTAACTTAGAATAAACTAATGATAAAGAAGGAAGAAAAGTGTCATCTTTCTCCACAAGAAATGACTAATTTTGAGGTAGACAGAGATTTTACCAAATTTGATTTAATGTAGTGAATACATATTTTAGTTTTAAATAAAAAAAAACATTTTAATAAGCTTTTAAACAATTATTATTAAATATGGCAAATACACATAGGTTTTTTTACTAATGATCCATCCACGAGCAGCTTGTGTGTTATTTGGGTTTTGGATCGAAACATATATTTCTAGTTCTAGAACAGCTATTTTGACTCAAATATAACTAATTATCTAGTAAATATGTCTAGTAAAAGCGTTTACCATAATTTAATATAAAAATAAGAATAATAAAATTTTTTTAGTAACTTTAAGTATGCATTTAGTGGTATATCTTCCTGATGAGAAAATTTATGCCAAATTTAATGTCTGAACTATATATTAGTTGCAAATCAACATGTTAGTCATGATCACCAGCCAGTTAGAATCAACCTTAGTTTGGGAGGAAAAAAATATATAATTTTAATAATTGAAGTTGGGTAGTGCTATTAAAATAAAAAATACTGAAACAGATTATTTAAAGCAGGGCATTTTGTCTATTAAAATTGATGCCTGACTGTATGGACCCACCCTAAGCCATGACCTAATTTCTCTTGTTTTTCTGACACCCTATTTTTGCTGTTGGGTTAATGTTAGTGTGCCCCTGATCCCAGCTTGTTACTTACGTTGCAATTCCATGAGTTAGGATAAAATAGCTTCGCTGCTCCTGAAAGGGAGAGGTCTACTACCTCTTCCTTCCCCTGTTTTTTTTTAATTCAGTTCAATAGCTTGCAAGACTCCTCCGAGAGCTACTTCAACTCACTAGCACATCTCACACACAAATGTGAATCCTGCGACTCGGTTAAGGAAATGCATCATCTCACAGGTCCAGCAGACACTAAAATTGATGCACAGAAGAGACCTGGCTTTTTTTTTTGGCAAGAAAGGGTAAAGAGTTTCACCCACCACCTCCTCCCTTTTCCATGGCAGCTAGATGTTAAATTGGATCAGCTGTTCATGAAATCACAGCCTTGGTACTATGGTATTGTTGCTTCACTCGAATACAGGATGCTGCTGTTAGAGTAGCTGGGGAATGCTCATATATTCAGCTTGGGAATAAAAGAGATTAACTCTGGCTCAGGAAAATAGTTGCACTAGAACAATACATTTTTAAAGGCTTACACTTAACTTCTTATCCCATACTTTTTATGGTTGCAGAAATATATTGTAAGTATGGTAGTTACAAAACTAAAAGTGTGTTTTAAAATGCAACCAATTTAGTTATGATAGGATATGTTCTTTTTCAGGTTGAAGATGAATACAGAGTGTTCCAAGAAGAAGCCAAGAAACAAATTGAGGATCTCAATGTGACTCTAGAAAAACTTCGGACAGAACTAGATGAAAAAGAGACTGAGAGAAGTGACATGAAAGAAACTATATTTGAGTTGGAGGACGAAGTAGAGCAGCATCGTGCTGTGAAGCTTCATGACAATCTCATCATATCTGATTTGGAGAGTAAGTGTTACGAGTTTCTCTTGCGAGGGAAGTGATAATTTAAGAACAGCTGAAGTAGAACGCTGAAATAGTGAAAATATTTTCACTTGTCTTTCGTATGTCTGAATTTAAGTCAGACTGGGCTTTGCAGAACCCTTATAAGCTAGGGGAAAAAAATAAAGTTGGCTTTGCTTTTACAGTCCCGGTAGTAGTTGGTGTGGGGATGAAAACCTGTGAATTGAGAATAAATATGAAATCTGATAATGCTGTTTTTAAGTTGTTTTTCAAAGTAAAAAACATGTAATTACAGACTTAATAATAGTCTGCTCCTTGTGCATTTTGGAGACTGTATGATGATTTAGTGTTTTGCTGGTGGTTTTTTTTTTTAAGAATGCTCTCTTTCAAGTGCCCAAATATTAGGAGTTACGAAGTAGCTTGAGAATGTGTATAATTAATGATTTCTCCCACCTGAAGAAAGGTGGGTTTAGTGGAGAAATGGGTGAATGGAGGCCCTGAAAGTCACAAATGTCAGAGCTGACATGGCAATATGCATGTATTATATATCTCTTTCTGTGTGGATTTGCTCAAGTCATGAAACTGATCTGTGAACCTAAAAATGAATCTGACAAACTTCAAGCAAGTTAGAATAAAACCTTATCTGCTGACTCCTGCCACTGTACAAGACATGGTTGGGGCTTACAATGAAATTAATGTTTACTGTATACTCGTCTAGCTCTCTGTGCCTTAGTTCCCTCTCTGATCTCCAAGACCTGCTCAGACATTCCTGCCACAGGCTGGAATTCTGCAATTAGTCTCTGTCTAAATAAGAACTTGGGCAACTGTACCCTGGCAAGCTGCATTTGTACAGTGCTACTTACAGGATTCTAATATCTGCTATTCTTCCATGGTATACAAAGACTAAACAAGACAGCAAAAAACACGAAACATAATCCCTTTTAACAGCAAGGGAAATACTCATAGAAAGGTTTTTTAATTGGTCTGCTATCAAGAAAAGGTAGTGTCTTAAGCAAGCTAAATTGTTTATTCAACTGAAGCTCAGTGTCTTCAGACATGCGGCTGTCAGCTTGGTTTCCTTAAGCAAGCCTTCTTTATCTTGAAAGGCAATCACTCTTTACAAAATTGCTTTAGGTTTTTATTCTGCAATTTTTTTTTTCTCTTTCTGTTCCAAAACCACAGACAGACATTTATTTGGGAGCAGGAGCTCAGGCACATGGTTAGTGGCTCTGACTTTGTTCCTGAAGTTGTTGGGTAGCAAAGTCTTAAAAAGATTGAACACTTTTCTACTTGCATTGTTTTGTCCATTAACTGAAATACATTCATACAGAAGACAGCACCATAGTCAAGTAAACATTTCGGTATCTTCTTAATAATACCTGATTACAAGGCAGCTTTAATTTTTAGATGCTTCTGCTTTGGGGGTACAAAATAGCTGTCAGATATTTCACTTAAACTGGTAAAAATTCGGGCGGACAAACCTCTGCCTGGGCAGAAAATTGCAACAAAAATTGCGACAGTCTTTTTACTCATAGCTCCTGGAATAGTTTGGAAAATTCAACTGTACTAGCTGATGGCCTGGTGTGATCCTTTAGGGAAGAAAGCAGTATTTTAGTTATAGGCAGGAAGGAGAGTGGCATCTAGTGGCGGTAAGAAAGGATGGCACCCGAAGAATAGTATAAACTTAAAAAAATATTTTTCTCTGACCACTTTAAAACGCTGTTCATTATGGGTTCATAATTAAACCTCATACAGGAGTTTCTTGGTGGTAGCCTCTAAGTAATGACAGCAAAGAACAGCATCTCAGAAAATCTGGGACTTGGAGGTAGTACATACAGCATATGAAAGACAGAATTTTAATAATTTCTATTAAAGTGACAGAAAAGCACATCTTACTAGTAGTAAGTTATCTTATGCTGATCAGACTTTTGGTCAGTTCTGGTATTCTGTCAGCCAAATGTATAATGCCTGTGCTTTTAAGCGTGGAAAATTTAGTGTAGGTTTAGGTATTATAAAGCACTAGTTAGAAGAATGGTGTTTTTTCAGCATAAAGAACCATGAAAGTTTTCGTTTAGTGAACTTTTCTTTTAGATTTTAAAATATGAGGAAATCTAACCCATCCCTTACGGAGAGAATTTGCATAACAGAAAAGTTACTGAGTGAATGAAAGGGATGGCAAAACAACTGATAAATGACAAGTGATAAGTGATGGAAAGTTATCACTTAAAGAATTCACAAAAGACAGACTTTACAGTTAGGAGAAGGATGTTTCATAGATGAGGTGGTGAGTCTTTGTTCAATTTAACGGTTAATCAACACTAAATAGTAATGTAGGAATGTGAAATGCTCTAGCACTGGTACTTAGGGCACGCTTCATTGTGGGCTTTCCAAACACCAAAAAGAAGCACAACGAACATACGATGAAACATTTTTCACAGTAATCTGAATATGGAACTGTCACATTTTAGCTGTTAATATGTCTGCCTGCAAAAACTGGGATGTCTTTGATGTGGACAGTAGGATGTAAATTGCATTGATTAAAAACATACAATATGTTCCTGATGTCCATCCAGTGGCAGCTGAACTCATTATTGGTGGGACAAGGAGTTTTAAGCATAGTGCTTCTGTATTGTATCTAAAAAGTCTAAGAAATATTAAAATAACTTGTATGTTTTGTATCCTCACTAGTGCGCTGAGATGAAACAAGCTGTAGTGGAGATGAGTCTGTAGGTACTGGCATGGAAGTGAGGTCTGGGAGAGGGCAGGGCAGGCTGGAAGTTGGCAGGGGAGGCGGGCATTGCGCTAGATGGCGTGTTTCCTCTGGTTTTCATTTCTGACTTCAGAAAAACTGTCAGTAGTCAGGTAGCCAAGCTGTCACATTAGTCATCTTCGATGACTAAGGGGAAAAAAGCAACCTATTATTCTTCCAAGCAGTTAATAAGAGTTTGTGGGGAAATTTTTTCAGAGAACTTTTTCTCCTGATTTGCAGAAAATTAGTATTTGTAGATTAGCTTATCAATTGTCAGATGTTTCTTCTGAAGCCTGAAAATACTCATTGCATGTTCACTTAGCACAAGGTACATGTGCTAAACATACCAGTTCTCTTCGTCTGTAACTATTTAAGTCAGTAAATTTTTTGGACAAGGGTAGGTGAGCAAGAAGGTTGATATATCTAATGTTCAGTGAATAAATAGTTCTTCTATGGAGCTGGCAGCGTTAGTTTTTAATTCTGTTGTATCTTATTTTGAAAAGGAACTTGACAGCAGTTGTGAAACTAAATTTTTACATTACCATACTTTTCTACCATAATGTTGGAAAAGTCAGTTGGATGTTAGTTTTCTAATTGTTAGTAAGTTGGGGGTTTTTTGGTAATGTTGGACCCTTAAAAAAATCAGCTTCCTTGCTGTGTAGACCTACTGTCTGACAGTGATGAGCTCAAAGTAAGACTGATATGCAAATTGCCTGAGCTTTGGTAGATTTGTAACCAGTGCCTCTTCCTTATATAAGGAAGCTATAATTCTTAAATTAACTGTAATGGTGGCACTACTCTGTGTAGATGTGATTATACTGGGATAGCCATTTCTATGCTAAAAAAATTGAAGTACTGTGCTAGTATAAGGCAAACCAATGTAACTGGTATAAAAACTGCGACAATGCCAATTGTGGATTTGTCTGTGTCAGGATTATTTGATTTAGCGTTGCTTATCAGGAATTGTAATGTCATGTTTTGAAACTTATGTGCATATCTGAATATTTTAATTGTTTTTTGTCTTTTTTTTTCTTTTTTTTTTTCCCAGAAACAAATTAAATAATTGAATGTTGATATTCATTTTTATTTCATAGTGGTAAATTCTAACTGCTAATTATAATCAGTAAGAGTTACAGATACAGAATACAGTGATACTTTTTCTCTGGCAGTCTTATAAAATTCAGATGATATCTTAGTTTCTTCCTCCCACCAGCCGTAGTTGTAATGTTTTTCTTTACCATTTGTAGTCTGCATTTCCCATAATTTATCTACCTTTTAAAAAGCAAGGACTTGTCAAACTGTGATTTAAATCAATATAGTTTTGTAAAATATAGACATAATTGAATCCTGCAGTAAAACACAAGCAGCTTGCTGATTTGCCATCTTTGATTATCCTATAATTCATCAGAATGGTCTCCTTGTTCTTCGCTTATCCTAAACAATAGTTACTTTTCCTTTTATCTCAATCCTCTTTCTTGTCTATGCTCCTTAAAAGGAGACTGGATAACAGTAGAAGAGAAGTACCTGTCCTACCATCCTGAAAACTGCAGCGCATACATGTGGAAAGGGTTTGTGTGTGTTAGAGAAGAATCATGGAGGTTGTGAGGATTCAGAAAGGAAGGATACCACAAGGCAGGTGTACAGAGAATTGCTACCTGTGTGCCTATTTTGACTACTTGAATTTTCAGGCTGTAATTGGTAGCACAACTCAAAGAATGGAGTTCAGGCTGTAAGAGGTGAAATCACTTATCTTAGTCTTAGTTTCTCACCATGTTTCAAATTCAGTTGCAATTTGGTAGTTCTTTTCAGGTTTTTTTTTTTTATCTCTTCGATTGATTGGGGAAGACGACTGTTTCCAACAACTGCTGTAAAATGCTCTGTATTGTTTATAGTAACTGCAGAATATTCAGACCATTGTGTTTTACTTCAAAGCATAAATATACTAAAACTTAATGGTGCGTTTCATATCTCACAAAAGCTCAAAACAATGGCATTACACAAGCTTTAACTCTGGATGCATTTATAGTTTCTGGTTTGTGGTTATTTTTAGATGAACTATAGCTTGCTTTTAGTAGTAGAACAAATTTTATTTTTAAAAACACATTTTCTTTGAACTGTCTTTAAAAGAGAAAATGTTCATCCACTGGATTTTGTTTCAGAATGTTACTGGAAGCTCTTTAGGCCATGTTGACTTGCTGTCACTTTTGAAAGTTATCTAATTTGCAGCGGGTTTTTTTTAGCATGTGTTTAAAGGAAAAAAGGGTGGGGAGGGGGAGTGACTTTTATAACTTTGACCTAAAGCTGGCATCTCAGTGCTTACTTTAGCTCAAGCGAATTATGTATACAGAGACAAGCTAAAAATTAGAGGGCTTTGCTTAAATATCATGGTAGCATGAGATTTGAGTGGCACACTCTGTTAGGCTTATCTTCAAAGCTTGAAGATCAGTTGGATGCATCTTAAAATGTGCAGTCTTGTAAGGAGGAGATAAATACAGAAATAGCTTTCTAATTTTAGTATTTCAACTTTTCCAAGCCTGAAAGGTTTTCAGGACAACTGAGGTTTATATCATTCTTGTAAAGAAATTAGCTGTGGCATTAAAAGCCTCTGTACTTGGGACTGTTGAGGCAAAACTCAAGAATTTCTTCTGTTGAAGAAACCAAAAGGAATTCCATGGCTGAAAAATTGAAATGTTCTTATGAGTATAATTGAGGCTCCTGAATTACACATCAGCATAAATCAGCTTAAATCTGTTCTTAGTCTTTGTTGCATCCGATTTGAACATTTTGAAATGCTTACTATTTTCCATTTAGTCTGCCATAGCCTCATTTTTATTGTTAAGAAAAGCCCTTTGACAAAAGACCAGGAGTAGTGAAGGAGCTATAGGTTTACTTGGCAGAACAAGTCACTGAATAAACCCTGGTTTACTGGTTTTCCTGACACCTGATACCCAAATAAAAGCACTGGAAATTTTTTCATGTTAGAAAATGAGAGGCGCAAAACTTTACTGTATCAATCTGTTTGTATGAATGTATATATACCTGTCTTCTGACTATTGAAACATTTATTATGCAGTTCCGTAGATTTTTGCCTCTTTGCCAAGGTTTTGTATTTTGGACAGCCTAAATTTATTAGGCACCTTCAACCTTTTTGTGGAAAGAGCATTGCTAATATACAGGAAAAATATTTGTTTCCAGCAGGTCTTGGAATAATGAACCTGAACAAAAAAATGCATTCAGTCAGTTGGCCCATCATTTTAACCGCTTGGAAATAGTTACATGATGCTATAGAAATAAAATCATCCTAGAATCCAAAGATCAGTGAAGTGACACACTAGAAATTTATGCTGTGTTCTTCATCATTAGTTGCTTAGTTATAAGAATGGAGTAATCAATCACATTGTCCTTGTGTATTGAATAAAGTAACAAATGAATAATAATTGCAGTAGCCAGTCTGTCAGACGCCACATGAGGAGTTGGTGGTGATCAAGCTGCATACCCTTTTGTATAGCTGCTGACAGATTTAAGGGACCATCTCTTTCATAACGTGATCTCATAGACTGTTTATCCCTTTGCTGTAAATATAGCTTGTTTCAACTTCAAATAGTAGCTTGATAGACAAGAATGTAAGATTCTTGACAACATGAGTAGAATTTTATCCTCGTTGAAGGCATGGCTGTGTTATGTCAGCTGCTTTGTGACAGAGAGTAAATTGTGAATCAAAAGGCTTCATGTAGCTACAGCTTACGTTGGAAGAGAGAAAACCCCCAGACGTCCAAGTTTTTACGATCTTTCCATGTTAAATTACCTACCTCGTTTATTTGCTCTTTGTTATTGCTTTGTCATTTCAATATTGGGAAGGGTAGAGAAGAGACTGGGATTTGTGTAAGAATTGAGTTTGCTTATGCCATTCCCCTCACCAGTCATAGAGAAGTATGTACTTACTGACACTTTCTGTCAAATTATTTGTGCTCATACTATTTTTCTCCAGGTGGCTTTGGTTATAAAAATGTATTCTCCGAGTAAGTTTTTAAAAACATTTGCAGGTTATTTCAGTTACTCTTTTTTACGTAAATAGATCCCTGACTAAGATCTTACAGATAATTTGATTTTCTTTCCAGATACAGTTAAAAAACTTCAGGACCAAAAGCATGACATGGAAAGGGAGATAAAGAATCTTCACAGGAGACTCCGGGTAGGTTAAAACCTAAAAACTCAATAAATTGTAAACTTGGAATGTCACAAGACCTGCATGTGAAGTTGTGAAAAGGTAATATGATGAGATGTAATACCATTAACATAACTATTTCTGAGAGACAGGCATCATATGGGAATATGTTTACTAACCTACAGAGACTAAAGAATTAACTTCTGAAAAATTCTCAGTGTCATGAAGATACAGTGTTGGGCTTGGGAGAAAATGTTCCTGTGTCTTCTGATGCATAGTTTAATATTATTTTTTGTTTTTCCCCCTCCACTTTGAACGTTTTCTTTGTTTCTAGAAAAGAAATTCATGACTTTGGAAGTCTAGTTATTTCCAGCAAAACTTCTTCAATTTAACTTGTGAGTTAGGTTGTGCCTAATGCCAGAGATGAGGGCCTTTATCATTCCTGTAAATTGTTTCCTATAACAGCATAGGGGAACTATGAATAATAAGGATAACTTTTATTTTTAACTTCAAAAGTCTTGCTGCTTTAAATTTAAAGTTTTATTTACTTATAGGAGGAGTCAGCAGAATGGCGTCAGTTCCAAGCTGATCTACAGACTGCAGTGGTTATAGCAAATGATATAAAATCTGAGGCCCAGGAAGAGATAGGAGACCTGAAGCGTAGATTACATGAAGCTCAGGAGAAAAATGAGAAGCTCACTAAAGAGTTGGAGGAAATAAAGTCACGCAAGTATGCAAAAGACAACTGGGATATTGTCTCTTTTGTAGAGGGGGTACAATTTTGGAAATCCAGTATCTTGACTATTATTGAGACTCTGGAAGTTCATAAAACCTCTCACTGTGAGGATCTGTATTTCAACACGCTGCTTTATGCAGGCTTTCAGGGGTCAAAATAGGTAAACTTATAAGAACAATATTTGTTTCATTATGCTGTATATTTAATCCATCCAAGAATATTCAGTTTGGCACTTTTGCAAAACCAGGTTGAAGTGGAGGATTTTTCCTGTTTAACAGCTGGACATGATTTAACTCCCCTCAGTGTGAAAAACAAGCAGTGTTGGCTTTTCTGTACCATCATTCATACTTCTTATTAGCAGCCATGGCTTTTGGTATGGTTAAAAATACAGCTGAATTTTTACCTGAGAAGAAACCTTTGTCTAATTCTGCGTATATCTTGTACTGTTTTCTTTCCACTGATAATTGTTTCTGGAAATAATTAGAGGTGCTTTGTGTATGTTTTTAATAAAAGCAATTCAGACTGATGTATTGTGGCTTGAATTAGGTACTACAGTTATTTAGAAACTGAGTTATATGTCTTTCAGAAGTATTAAAGTCCTCAAATCCATAGAATAGGAACATCTTGGACAGCACCATTTGAATCCTGAGTACATTGTCTCTAGGGATTGAATACATGTATAGCTTACAATTACAGTAATGATATTTGTGATGTGTATATATTAAGCATTTTTTTTCCACATGGATAGGCGTTTTATAGCTACATGACACTTAACCCAGTATCTAGTAGGATATTAGATAATGCAGGCTATGCAACTTGGGGAAAAGCTGATGGTAGGAAGAGCAGACTGGTTACATGAAAATAGAAAATTATCTGGATGAATGAATGGTGGGTGTAAGGCATCGTATCTGAAGTAAGATCTCCAAACTAAGTAATATGAACGGTTCTTACTAATACATTTCAGCCAGAATTGTAATTGTTCAATTACTGCTTGCAAGTGAACCTTTGAGTTTACAGTTGCACTTTTGAAGGTAGAATTGGCTTGCTGATTCCAGTCAGTATATTCATTATTATCTATACATAAGCATCTTTTGACATTTGATTCACTGCAGACAAAGAGGCAACTGCATCAGATTCCTTAGAAGTGGTATAGCTACTGTATTGGAAGGAAGGTGGTAGGGAAGTCTATTACAGTGTCTAGAGCAAAAATCAGTCAATGTTTAATTATTGCAGACTGTAGAAAATAGGTTGCTTTAAACAATTCTTGTCTTGTGACTGACACTGAATACAATAACCACTATAAATATTCTGTACTAAAGAACTTAAATTTTTTTTTTTTCAAAACTGATTCATATGCTGCCTAAAGGTGTATGCCAGAAATGTATTCTTACCTCCTTAGTATTCATTTAAGTTGTTTTCTGTTTATGCAGGTGGAAAAAAAATTCTCCCCTTTGAGCTGATTATTTTAATGTGAAATGGTGCAATACTTAAGGCTCAATTTTTTCCATCCATGTATACGTGTGTGTGTTTGAGAGAGAGGAGCAGAAATTAAGCTTTAAATCAAGTATTGATTTGATAGAATTTTCACCTGGTGCTTAAGCTCTCTTGCTGACAAATAGTAAGAACTTGCAGTGATAATTTAGGTTGATAATCTATTTCTAAATTACAGTGGAAAGAAAACTAGGTTAATGTAATAACCGATTTGGACCATAGATTTTAATTTGGCTTCAAATTTTTGTTGATTTTTTTTAAGACTTTGCATGTTAAAATGTTTTTTAAATGCCTTAAATGGGCTGCATATTGATTTCAGGCAGGAAGAGGAACGTGGTCGAGTGTACAATTACATGAATGCTGTAGAGAGAGATTTGGCAGCTCTGAGACAAGGAATGGGCCTGAGTCGCAGATCATCCACCTCCTCAGAGCCAACTCCTACTGTAAAAACACTCATCAAGTCATTTGACAGTGCTTCCCAAGGTAATTATTTTCAACCAGTGTAGTAGCTGTACCAAGTTACGATTTTGCATATGTTGACATGGACACTTTTAATGGCTTAGCTAATTCAAAGGTAAGTTGTTCTATTGTACTGTCATGACCTATAAGTGATGGCTGAAACAAACCAACCTAAACTAGATTGCACAACCAATTATTCACTGTGGTTAAGTGCAAGCATCCTTTTTTTGTCTTGCCTTTATTTTTTCTTCACTGTTGGCAGTGCCAATGACTCATATGCTAGATGCTTTGATTCAATGCTCCCATATATTAGAAATACATAAACACATATTACACACATAATTGTAGCTGGAAGCACAGCTGATTTCAGCCTGACTATTAAAACGTGAACTTAATGTGCCAAATTAAGCATTCTAAAAGCCATGTAATAGCTAGAGCCGAGTTTGTTTCTTTTAATAACTTACATTCTTATAGTCGAAGTGCTGATGAAAGTTAAAAATAAAGTCCAGCCAGTATCAGCTATTAAAAGATACAGGGAATATTTTCTAAAATGAAAAGGATCTCACTGTTGAGACAATGGATTTTACTATAATTCTCTGATTGTGGAAACAGGTGCTGTTGTCCTTCTCTGTAGATGAGCAGAATAAGGAATCCAAGTAATTATCCTGAAATGAGAAACACCTTGACTGCATATGGGACTTTGAATGGATTAAAATATTTCCCTTGCCAGGCCTTTTGGCTTTGAATTTCATTTACAATAATGTCACTGTAAGTCTCTGAGGTAAAAAGGCTTGGCTGGAAGTAGACTATATTACCAGAGGGACTTAAAGTACTGTACTGTGCATGGCAAATTATTTTTAATTGCTTATAACCTGAAAATTTGTTAAGGAATAAAAGGATCTCCGTATTACTTGGCAATTCTGTAAATGGCTATTTCCATTGTTCTCTTTGTTCATAGGTGTTTACAAATTTTTGCTTTCCTAGTGTTAATTTTGAAGGTTTTTTTAATCTGTTCTTGGATAAAGGTGCTTTATTGCCAGAGTTAGTTTGGTAAAATGATAAATCACCTCTCCGTTCTTTTTAATCTTTCATTTCAAGCTGTCTGCCTTCTTCCTCAGCATTTGTGTCATGCTGTTAAATAATCAGATGACTGATTCACCAACTCAGTATTTGTCTGTTTTCATACATTTCTAAACATGTTACTTGTTTAATCCCAAAATTCAGGGACTGTCATATAATATGTAGTACCTGTGGACTTCGATTGGAAATGAGAAAGGAGAAGGAGGTGATGTGTGTTATCTATATTGTTTTACTGGCAGACCCTGCTACCATCTCTTTAATTATCTGGAGATCATAGAACTGATAATGCCATCATTTACATCTGCCAGGGTAATAGTATCCTGCACCTTAGCCTTGTCCACCCCCAGTAAACTTATGTTTTTACCATGGATGATATATTCAAGACAGAAAATGAATGTAATTACAGAGGAATAAATGTGTAGGTATACTTTTAAATTATTTTGCAGTCAGTTACTAATTGAAATTCTGAAAGATGTGATCTGGTAAAACTAGTAATGTAAAGTACAAGGCAAGAGTTCACTATAACAGCCAGTCTCCTGTTTCACTGCAAAACAGTGCATTGCTAACGATGGCTTCCTTTCTGTGTTTTGACTAGTTCCAAGCCCTGCTGCTGCAACAATTCCTCGCACTCCCCTGAGCCCAAGTCCCATGAAAACTCCCCCGGCTGCTGCTGTATCCCCTATGCAGGTAAGTGTTTCATGACTGCACTTAATCCTTCTTTGTAAAGAAGAGCATGTGAAACTACAGGTGGTAATAGACAAAAATTGATTGACTTTGTGGGGACATAATGATAAAATGTTGCCTCAAGTAAGTAATCACTAAAATGTTCAGTCTAACAAAAGAGTCTTTCACTGAGAACCATGTTGTAAATACAAGATTTGTCATAATTTGGAAGTTCTTGTTAAATATTCCCAACCCTTACTATTCCTGTGCTACTGAGAAGCATGGGAGGAAAACTTTATCTGCATTCCTTAGTTTTAGAGTTGCTGTTTGTCAGTTCTTAGTCCTGTGCCTGGCATGGAAATGGCAGTAATACCCTTCGGGCAATGGACTGAGACCTGTGCAGAATCTGTCAGCAATCATCAATATAAACATATCCCATGTTGCATGGGCTTTGGATAGCAGACCTGACCAGAGAGGAATGAAATCATTGTGAATTGATTATCTTTGCTCATTTTGTACTGACCGAGAGTTTGGCCAGTTGGTGATTGTACTGTGTATTTTGTCCTGTCCCCTCTGAAGCTTTGTCCATTTATTCAGCTGCTACAGGAGCTTAGGTACACTAAGATTGCAGCATCAGTACTCTAATGCTCAGCTTTATAGATCACTGCTGGTTTTATTATCTCACTAGCTGTGTGAAGTGTGATTTTGGCAAAAGCCAACAAGTTCAAGGACAAAACAGATGGGACCAGATTCACAAAGAATGTACTTTGTTTTACTCCTTTAATGTCAGTAATTCTCCTGTTGTCTTCAAGATATTATTAACCGGAAGTACCAGAACTTGATTTTTACTATAGGTCAGCATAATGTTTTGGTAATAAATCCTCTTTGTGTGAACTGAAGAATCTGTATCCATATTGGCTTTTAGTGCTCAAGGAACGATACCTGGAACAGACTGACTGTTCTCCTGTGGTCAGACTAGTGCAGCTTTTATTCATTTAAGAGTGAATTTCATGAAACAAATGGATAGCCTCAAAGGAAAGAGAAAGAATTAAATGTTTTTTGTGAGAGCTTCTGCTATTTCATGTGGCTCAGTCACTCTTGACAACAGTTTTCTAAAGTAGTTAAATGTGATAAGTTCTCTGACAGATGCTTTGTTCCTATTGATCTGTCTTTATATTTCTGTTTATTTCTGTGCTCTTGTAGGAAGAGGCAGACTTAAATCTCATGTTCTAAAAGGCTAAACCAGAGCTTTGGCAGACAGAAGACTTTTTGATGAAGCCTAAGGCTTATTTCACTTTATTTGCCTGTAAATTAACCATGAGCCAAAGTAATCTCTTAGAATACTGCAAACCTGCTCAGGTTTACAGCTCTTGTTTGATGTTTTCGGTCTGCCAGAATTACTTGAATTTTGAATTCAACTTCTGGCATAGAACCAAGTAATTGACAGCTGGATACTCATTAGTGGGAAACATTGCCTGAAAAACAAAGGGGAGGGCGTGTAAATGAAAACAGCTTCTATTGTCTTTTTGAAGATGGGTGGTTTTCTTGAAAGTATTTGTAATTATCCAGAAGGCAACTGGTTTTTGTGAACTTAATTATGTAAATTGTATTTAAAGAATATTTTCTGCTCAAGAGGGAAGGAGTTCAGGTTCAAAACCAATTTTCATCATCTTTTCCTTTTCTTTATTTTCATATTACTACCTTGTTTTCTACTGTTGTGTTCTATGCATTTTTTTATATTTTTTGTCTGTGGTTTTTGCTCTCTTGCAATTGAAAAGCAAGATTTTATTAAGTAGTCACTATGTGAGTTGACCTATCGGCTCCCACCTTATAGAAGTCATCCATGGTTTAAGATCTTGAGTAAAGGTAGAAGGGTTGATCTCTGTATGGGTGTGGCAGTGCTTATTATCATTAATCTCAGTTGCTTTTAAATACTATCACAGGGGAAATATTTACATGGGCACCTACTGAGAAGCTGGCACAATTTTGATCTTATGATAAGATGGATTGGTTGCAAAAAAGATTCTCCAAGTACAGATGCATCAACATGTGCCCTCTCTGAATTACGTGTATCACTTCATTTTTGTGTTGGACTGTGTCATGAATTTCATCAGTCTTGGGGAGTTTCTGTTTGCTTTGTTTGTTTTTCTTTACAGTAATATGTGTATGTATAAGGAGATGCATTCTTGGATACATTTTTGCAACTGAAAACAAACAAACAAATCCCTTTCTGGCTTCAGGTCCAAGCCTGCAGTGGAACATAGCTGTTATTTACCATAGCATGTAGCAATACTGCAAAATAATTTAGGAAGAGAGGTATGAAGAGAATGCTCTTCAGAATGTAAAAACAACCCTGCTGGGTTAGCCCAAAGCTTAGCTGGTCTGATATGCCACTGAGAGTGACCAAAGCAGATGCCTAGGGATGAATATAAGGACAAGGAAGTGTATCTGCTACTTTGAGTACTTTCTTTTTCTGTTTCATAGCTGGAAGGCTCTCTGAAGTAGACATGGTTTCAGATTCACTGGTCACCACTAAATGTCCTGCTTTGCTTTGAACATACAAACTTTCAGGCTCCAAGCAATTCAGTCTCAAAGACTTCCATATCTTAACTACTTAATATGTGAAGAACTGTATTTGTTTTGAAATTGCCATGTGTAAGTGCATTGGCGTGAAGTACTTAATTGAAGTACATACTGAAGTGCAAAGTGATCAGGAATAGGTACCTGGCAGTGGTTGAAGGTCATGTTTCCTTCCATAGCCAACAACAGATGCAAGAATGAAGAGTCAGAAGCAAAATATTTGGAGTTTAAGGGATTAGTTTATCCTGCTATAGTTTTGCCTCAAATTTGAAGTCTCAGGTGTTTGTTCTCTTTTACTTTTTTGTCTCACCTGTGTGCTGGCTCCTCTTCTGGAGTTGTTACTCATCTTACAAAAAAAAAAAAGAAAAAAGATCTGAAAAGAGTCTTAGGTAGCTAGCAGAAACTTTATCTTCAAATTAGGAATGGCTGTGAGAAAGTAACTGTTGATCTTAGCATCTTTATCTGTTACTGTAATTATGTTATACGGAGACTACTACATAAAAACATGTTATTTAACTCTGTGAACGATTTTCTTTATACACCCTATCAAAAATAGTCCTTAAAGTTTCTAGCATTTTCTTTTGCTAGACCTCAATGTAGGATGAATAAGAAGAGGATCACAGATTGCAGAGCATCCATCTTTAGTAATTTCTGTCCCATTAGTAGCCTTCATGAATAGCCTCAAAAGCATGCGATTCCTCTGAACTTTTGATCCTTTCATTTAGTATTGAGGAGTTTGAACACTGGTGTTGTGACATGTTGTGACAAATGACAAATGGTGTTTAGCAGTTAAGTAAGTTTTAGGATGTATTTCTAGTTGAAGAAAAAAAGGTATTTATAAAGAGATTGGTAGGATTCATACATGTTTGATTGCACGTCAGATGTGTTTTGTTTTGTAAGTGAAATGAGGGATGGCTGAACTGCAAATTCAGCAAAAGCTCAGTTAAGCAGAAAAGTTTCTAACGCTTGTAAAATGTTTCAGGAAAAGTTATTCTCCAAGAGACTTGTGCACTAGTACTATATAAATATTGCTAAGTGGAACTAGATAAACATTAGTTGGTTCATTTTCCTCTAATTTGCTGTGTATTAGTAACTACGTTACTACTGGTAGTTGTAATAGTAAGATATGTAATAAGGAACTAGCAACAGTTAAAGTAAGCCCTGTCTGCAAGTGTCAATAGGAGCAAAAAGACGAACAGTTCGTTTTATAACAAGGAGACAAGACCAGTACACAGCAAGTTATCAGTAGAGTAATAAGACCACATTCTGACAATATCCATAAAGGATGTTTGGTTTTAAGTGATATCTGGAAGCTGAGAAAGTGATAAAGGTATATGGTTATCCAGCACTGTGCCTGCTCTGTACGTACCTTTATTTCCTGGCAGAAGTTCTGTACTACGCTGTCTTTGTAATGACAATCCCAAAGCTAGACAAAATGACAAAATGTATTCTCTAACTCTATTATAGTGGTTTCCTTTTTTGGAGGGGAGGCTCTCACATTGATAGCGTCCTTGTCCTGTATTTTTAAAAAAAAAAAAAAAGAAAAAAAAAAAAAAAGAAAAAAAATTATTCTTAAGTGGGTGAAATGAACTTTAAAGTTAATGCAAGTTTGAAATACCAGTTCTTATGGGAAGTTGTTGTTGGCACTTCTCTGCATGGCTCACAATTGCAGTTGCTTTCATCTGCACGCTTAAAGGAATAATCTTTGTAGTGTATGTGCAGGACTTCTGATATATAAAAGTGAAGAAATTCTTCATGCTGTATTTTGAGTTAGATTCTTAGATGGTTGGCAGTTTTCTTGTCCATTTGATTTCTAGCACAAAAGCATAACTCTAATTTGACTCTAAATGGTGGATGAGTAGTCCTGTAATCCTGCCTGTGCTATAGGATGCTGCAAAGTATATACTGTTAACTTTTTTTAATCACAATTTTGGATTTGTCTGTCTTGCCTACGTGATTTGGCATGAGAAACATCTGACCTTTATTACCTTACAAAGATAAGGCTCATTTAACCTTCTCATCTAATCTTGGGCCAGATGGAGAGCTGAAAGAGTTTTCAGGATAAACACATTACTGGACTGATTGTGATTAAAGATAGGAATCTAATAGAAAGGACAGGGTGAATAAAGAATGTACTATAATTTGCAATAGGCTCTTTGAAATGATTAATTTTAAAAAAGAATAATTGTGGATGGTCTTTCCTGAGTCTTCAGCAATTGAATATGAGTTTTAGTAAGTGTAAGGGTAATTATTGCGTTGTACAATTCATTTGTGTGATACTAAAATGGTAATTTCAGTGCTATCCAGTGATTAATTATTGCGTGCAAGACTTAACGCATCTGTGGACACTTCAAGCTGCTAGAAGCCATGCATTGCTGAATATTTTACATAAAGCTTGAAAAAATTCATTTTGTAACTAGTTTAGAGCAGAACAGAAATTAAGATGACCTTAGAAAGAAAAATAATTATATTTGTATTTCGTTACATATTTGACAAATACTTAACAAAATGTCTCTCTTCAGTTGTTCACAGAGCATGTCAGTTAAATAGGTGGTAGCAAAAGCTGTTGACATTCTGAATAAAAAATAGTTTTTTTCAGTAGGGTTTTTCTTAGCAAAGGGTAGTTCGTGTCACTACACCCAATACACCATTATCCTAATTTTCCAGGAAAAGCCACAAAGCTGTAAAGGCATATGTTAATAACACAAATCAAGCACTAAAATCTTGGCTATGTATAGGAGGTTATATTAGTTTAAATAAACACATCAAGTTTAACCAGGACAGGTTTGTACAAATAAAATATAAATGAAGGTGAAAATGAATACAAAAACCGCAAGAGAATTCACAACCTTCATTTGCAACATTGGTTTGAGGAACAGGTTTAAGTTTAAAGAAGTAAATGTTACAATATCAATGCATAGTGTGTGTATATACATTCAGATTGGCAAAAGCAACAGGTAAAGAGGACGCACCCTTTTTCACTAAGTATTTTTAAAGGTTCTCTTTTTTTTTAGTTCTTTTAAATCAGTAATAATGTCATATCTGAGTTTCTAAAACTGATTCTGCAATTCCATATTTGTTTTTTATCTTCAGATTATGTTTGACGCAAGTATTTTTCCATTTCAGAGGCATTCTATAAGTGGACCAATCTCAGCTTCAAAACCCCTTGCTACACTGACAGACAAAAGACCAAGCTATGCCGAAATCCCTGTTCAAGGTATTGATTCAAGTTCGTTTAAACTTTGTTTTTAGCAGTGCTACTAATACTTTTTTTTTGTATTTTATATCGTTTAGTATCCAAAGTATTATCATATTATATACTTTTTTATTACCGTAATATTTTCGTAGAATCATAGAATATTTTGAGTTCAAGTTTTTATTACTTGTGTTTCATCACACATGGTGGCATATCATAAAGATACTTTTTTGAATTTTCAACAAAACCATGATTGCATGCTGGTAACTCGGCATTATTCTGACAGTTTTTAATGTATGCATAAACTGAGATCACTTGCAAAATCAAGGCAAGATGATTTCAGGGTCATGTCTTGCAACTGTCTTCCAGATAATAAAAATACACACTTCTGGGGTTACATTGTATGTATTGTGTGGTTGGGTTCCCCCGCCCCCCCCCCTCCCTCCCCCAAATGAAACAAGGATGATGGTTGTCATTGCATTGCATGTGAATAACAAAATATAAACTTACTAAGTATTGAATCTTCAGGAGCCAAATGAAAAAATTGAATGGAGTTAAATTGAGAGTTGATTTATCTGTTTCCCAATATTTCCCTGTTCTGTGAACTTTGTTTTGTCTCAAAACACTGTTCACAATGTGCTCTTCCTGTGAGAATGAATGGCTATCATGTGTTGGGTGTAGCTCTCTGATTTATGCCTGCTTTAGGGGGTTTTTTTTGGTAGATGTTTCTCAAGATAATCCCCATATGACTCCAGGCTGAATATTTCCTCTCAATTTGGTATTCCTGAGGTCTGATCCTTTCTAAAGGGCTGGGGTTTTTTTTTGTAGCACTTCATAATAGTCTGTATGTGCCAGATTTCCTTCTTGCTTTTGTTGAATGCATATTGAGGTTATTTGTACAATGCAGCTGGAGTTTTAATTTTAGAAACTTCGATATTTTTAGGAATATTAAAATGCCTTTCCAAGAAGATAGTTTAGGATCCTTTAATTGTTACAGAGTTCACGGGCAGACATAAACTTAAACACAAAATGACTGGTATGCTTTATATCGTTTTTATGTTTTCATTCTAGTCAGTTAATGCAGCAGCAGGACTGCATTCAAATAGAGAATATGCCAGCCAGAATTCCTGTTTACAACCATATATATTTTTAAAGTATCTCTGTAGCAGTGTATGTTTCTTATGTCACATTTTCAACTAATGAATGGAGTCTCACTTTTTTTAATCCTTATTCTTCATTTTCATGGGTTTTTTTGTATTCAAATTACTGCCTTCTAAGTGTTTCTACATAGGAGTATGTAAACCTTTTGTTTACATCCTGAAGGTTTTATTTGAAGGAATATTTGTTCAATAATAGGAAATAGTTTTGATTTGATCCTACAGAAAATGAATTTTGTTATAGTTTGATTTTACTCATTGGCAGTATGCAGAACTAATCCTTCCCTACAATATGTAAAGGCACCTTTTTGACTCCACTGCATGGGGGAGGGAAAAAAAAAAAGAGTATGTTTTTATTTAAAAAATAAAAAACCCCAACCCAACAAATCAAAGGGGAAAAAAAAATCACATGAGGGACAAAGCAATCTGCTTCACCAATCTGCATTGTGAATGGCATATTGAATATTTTTGGCCATGTGCTAAATGGGGATTCCTTGCTCAGCCTTTTGGTTTAACAACTCATTTTTTATAGACCAGGGCAAGTGGATTAGTAAGAGGCCTTAGGGAAAAAGGATGAAGATGTATTCATAGTGATCTTTATTGGTAATGAGCAAATTTAGGCTTTCTCTTTCATAGCGATAAAATCAGTTGCTCTCACTAAAACAGCCAAACTCAGGCACTGGTAGACAATATCCATGACTTATACTTAAATGTCTTACATTTAAATGGAATCTTTGTCGTCTTTTTATTTGTTCAGAACATTTGTTGAGAACATCTTCTACGAGCAGGCCAGCGTCTTTGCCAAGAGTACCTGCTATGGAAAGTGCCAAATCTATTTCTGGTAATATCATGTTTTTTAGACGATTAGTAAAATCAGGAACTCTCATTTCAACACTGTGCTTACAGGTATACTTTACTTTTTCAAGAGAAAACTTTGGTCTTCAGACCATCAAGCTCTTGTCAAAAAAACTATTTGGATATTTGGAATGGCCTATTTTTCAATGTTCAAGTTTTCTGTTGAAATATTTGGGGAAAGAAACTAAAGTCCAATGCTAAAATAATATTCCATTCTATTGCATCAAGTGGAACTGAAGAGTTGTTTTTTTTTTTTAATTGCTCGTCTCCTCATTTTTGCATATATGACTTGCACCAGCATACCAGATGGATGAGTATGAATCATGCGTGTAACAATTGACTTCTATGTCATCTTTCCTTGTATTACAAATAATTTTGGTGTGCAAGGTATATGTGAGGAAAGAAACTGTGCCTGGCTGTTACCTTTTATTGCTTGGATGTAGGATTGGTTTTTTTAAGTGAATGAGGCAGAGAAGCATATTATTCTTCTCTAATTAAGCAGTTCCATTTTTGTTTCTGGAAAGAATTATTTTCAATGGTTTAAAATAGGAGGATTGCTCTTTTTAGGTAACAAATGCATCATTATACATTATCTAATGCATATAAATGTTTTCACGTATTATGTAGCAAAACTTCTACCCATTCCATAGGACAAAAGAATGTTTGCAGTGAATCATTTTAAAATAGTTCATTTTGTGACTGGCATAACCTGCAAATACTTTTCAGTATTACTCATAGTGGTTTCTGCATATTTAATGTTAACTTTGGATTTTTGAAAACTAGAGTTGCTAAATAGAAGTTTATGTAGCGTTAGTTTACTATCAAGCTGATGTCTCAGTATCAGCAGGGGCTTCTAAAAACAAATCTTTAAGATTTATAGTACAAATAGGGCGATGCTGTGAAAATGGTACTTTATCTATAAACTAGGCAGAACTAATTTGAGAGAAATATTTTTTAAAAACATCTATATTTGAGTAAATGATTTCAAGAAGAAAATGTGGTTTAGATCATTTTGATTTCTCTTTGGTGACTACATGCAGGATTTCACAGTAAGCCTCACCAATATTAGTAGCATTAATACTCCCATACCTGACAAAAAAAAAAAAATCTAGGGAAGTGATCATCCCACTGTACTCGGCACTGGTGAGGCCGCACCTCGAATACTGTGTCCAGTTTTGGGCCCCTCACTACAAGAAGGACATTGAGGTGCTGGAGCGTGTCCAGAGAAGGGCAACGAAGCTGGTGAAGGGCCTGGAGCACAAGTCCTATGAGGAGCAGCTGAGGGAACTGGGACTGTTTAGTCTGGAGAAGAGGAGAGGAGAGACCTTATCGCTCTCTACAACTACCTGAAAGGAGGTTGTAGTGAGGTGGGTGTTGGTCTCTTCTCCCAAGTAACAAGCGATAGGACGAGAGGAAATGGCCTCAAGTTGCGCCAAGGGAGGTTTAGACTGGACATTAGGAAAAATTTCTTTACTGAAAGAGTGGTCAGGCCTTGGAACAGGCTGCCCAGGGAAGTGGTTGAGTCACCATCCCTGGAAGTATTTAAAAGACGTGTAGATGAGGTGCTTAGGGACATGGTTTAGTGGGCATGGTGGTGTTGGGTGGACGGTTGGACTCAATGATCTTAGACGTCTTTTCCAACCTTAATGATTCCATGATTCTATGATTCTAAAAAATACCCACCCAAAAGTGTTTTTTCCCAACTTCTTGTGTCTAGTATTTATAAATTAATGTACTTGCCCCTAGTCATTAGACGATAAGCCTCTGATATATGTGGAGAGTTATATCTTTGATTTGCACAAACATAAACAATGGTGACTATTTAGGTATAAAAGGCAAACCTCATACTTTTAATTGGAAACTCTTCTACGTAGAGAAGATATAACCATTCCAAATTTGGTTTTACAGAGTATAATGCTTGTGCTTTCATTCGAAAGAAAAATTGTTTGTCCTTTGATAAAATGAAGCAGGCTCTGTGGAATGTGGCTGAATGGTCTCAGGTCAATCTTTGGTTTGCTTGCTGATGATAATTAATTAATGTCCAGAGCATCACATACATGCCAATTCTTGATTAAAATTAAGTGGAAATAAAGCAGCTGTCATCTCTAAACTGTTTTTTTTTTTTGGCTTTCTTTTTTCTTAACTACTTGAAGCTTAGCAATGTAACTGCATGGACCAGAGAAAAATTAAATGGTTTGGTGTTAAAATTCCTTCTCATTCATAAAATCCTTCAAATGGAAGTAGCGATGTTCCATTAAGATACATTCATCAAATTTTCTTTCCTTCAAGATACATAAATGTTGGTAGTTCAGTCTAAATCCTTGATATTTCCGAAGTGGAAAGTATCAAGAAAAATGTTGAAGGCTAGTACTGTATATGGGTTTCCATGCATGGTTTCTGAACTAATGCTCGTCAGAGAGCAAGAACGAGTTTGAAAGATTTTATGTTTGCAAATGATAAATATATGGGCATTTTCCCACTTAGTCTCTCGAAGAAGTAGTGAAGAAATAAAACGGGATATCAGTGCACCTGATGGAGCATCTCCAGCATCTCTCATGGCAATGGGTACCACCTCACCACAGCTGTCACTCTCATCTTCTCCTACGGCATCAGTCACCCCTACAACCAGAAGTCGAATAAGGTAAAAACTCTTTTTTGTGATGCACTGAAATGTGTTAATTTCATAGCTATCTGTCTGCATATATCTAGTACATAATATTGGCACTAAGACTGCAGACTCTACTGCCATCCATACAATAAAGATCTTCAATAATCTTTGAGAGCTTCAGAAAGTGTTTTCTGCAGCTCAGTATGTGTTTTAAAAGTTAGACCAGAAGTTAGGCTTTTTAGAGCTTATGAGGTTAATACCAAAGCTTTATGCTCCACTAGAAAACCAAGCTAAGTCATGTCACTAAATAATAGCATCATATCAGTTCAAAATACCACGAAGCCAAATTCAGGAAGTGAGCTTACGGAATGTTGAACAAATCTTTCAGAGTGGCTTGGACCCAGGGAGACCGCATGATAAACCTTAACTTTCGTAATCACAGCCGAAGACAAAAAGCAGCATGACTAGGTCTTAATTCCAGACACTGCCAAGTCTTCTAAATAGCCATGAGTGAATGGGCCTGGGTTATTTGTCCCACAGATGAAATCATAATGCAAGTCTAAGTAACAAATGGCCAGGCAACCCCCTTTCATTAGTAAGATAAAAAGATAAGTTTGTGATAAATTTAAAACTTTTCCTATCTGTAGTGTTATTAGTCAAAAGACTTCAAAGTATTTAAGCCTCATGTTATGCAAGTGAAGTATGTACTTAGCCCTGCTTCATAGATTGGGAAACTGGCAGACAAAAGTTAAATGACTTTCTCAAGACCATTTAACACAGAGCTTCCTGACAAAGCTTTTGTATAGCAGAAGTATTAAACCCTTAATGTTCTGAGACATTTGCAATATGTAATAATTACGTTATAAAATTGTGAAGTTATTTACAGCTGTGGGTGCTATTGAAAATTGTTCCCCTGAAATGCCTCAGTGCTGCTGTCTTTTCACTGTGCAGAAATTAAATTGAGTTTGGATCTGTGGGTACTTTACTGGCAGCAATTGATATTGTGTGTGTTAGCACCTAAATTTAGACCGAGTACATCCATAAATAAAAAAAAAAAAAAAGACTAAAACACCTGTATATGAACTTTGAACTGGTAATGTATAAAATTGCATTGATGGCAGCCTGCAGACTGTAGCAAATAGAGTGGCATTTCATGGTAAAATTGTACAGTTATAATTATGATATCATTACTATGCCACCCAACCATTGACTGCAATGCTAAGCACTACAAGAAGACTTAGCAGTGGAATCTGCAGCAGTGGGTGCACGGTGATGAGCATGCTCTTTGGAACTGTCCTCAGAATGTCGCTGCTGGACTTCAATTTGTTATGTCATCAGGTTTCTCTTTTTTCCCCTACCTTTTTCTGAAAGTTGTTGTAAAATAAACAGTTATTAATATAGTTTGCTAAAACAAATACTTGCAGTTTACTGTTCCCTGTTCTAGTTGAAACTTCATTGTCTCTTTGATTTGGAATACGATTGACCTAATATACTAACTTGTAAGATTTGTATGTCAAACCATTTCTCATTGTCTCCATACAACTTACGCTAATTTATTTTCTTCAGCAGTGTTTTCATAACTGTGAGAACCTGTTATAAACCATGTGCTCTTACTGGAATTTGAGAACAGGCTGTACAGCTCCCTCATGGATAAATAGTTTAGCGTAAAGAGAGGGAGATTTTAATTTGAGTTCTCGTATGTTGTCCCAAATCTCTGTTCTGAAGTTCTTGTAGTGTTGCATAATCTTCATTATGGATTGAATATGCAATTGCATTGTTATTTGTTTCAATCACTGATGAAAAAAATACACCAGTTTGGGTTGTTGAAATATGTACTGATTTAAGAACTGAAGTACAGAATTTCTTGAGGCATCATTCTGGCAGTGTGGTACCTATGAAGTTTAGATACAGTAACCTATTCAGATAATTTATTTCATCTTTAAAAAAACACAATTAGCAACTTCCTTGTCATGTTAAATCTCTCTGAGATTAGCAGTTAGGTTTGAAGGCTCATACTGCTATCTTTCATGCTGAAAGGCACTTACTGTTTCCTGTTTATTGTTCTGCTGTGCATATATTTTCATGGATGTTTCAAATGCCACCACTGATACCTCTTTCTAAGCAACTTTGAGATCTTGCCAACTTTATTTCAGTGAAAACTGGCCAAGCGAATTGCAATACATATACTTAAGATTAGCCTCAGAACATTTCGTTGTATGTTGGCACATGTTCTCTTCTTTTATGTGTTGAGTGACAGATGCTGATACGTGCAACGGCCTCTGGTGTTCCGCTGGTAGCACACATGCATGAAGAAATCCACATTCCCTGGATGCTTTCTTTTCCCCTGGCAGGACCTGGAGAATTGCTACCTTTAAATGTGCAGCAGAGAATCCACTGAAAATACTATGTATTTCCACTCTCCACCCTTCTTTCCAGTCACCAGATGGGTTGTAAAGAACAAAGAGTTAAAGATTTGAGAGTGAATGTATACAATCTGTATGTCTTTTTGGAAATATCCAAAAGGAGTAACTTAGGGTATCATCTTTGTGGATGTTGTGAGAATCTTGCTTACATCTGCATAGAAGTCTTTAAAAAATGGCAGATGAGGAAATCTTTGCAGTATGGATTCACTGATAACTTTTTTTAATTTTCCAAATGGAAATTATTAAAAATAAGAACAACTGCTGGCACACTTTACGTCCAGTAACTAAGCTCCATAATGGTGTAATACCTAGTCTTTTGTCAGAGACTGTTCACTAGAATATCTATAGAATACTGAATCATGTAACTAGGCCACTACAAAAGTATTAACCTCTATAATATATATTTTTTTAATCTAAGCACTAATTTCTGAAGCCTGGTAGAGAGATGTCTGTGATGTAATACTCATGTGAAAAACTGGCCAACCCAGATATGATAGTTCTTTTCTTCCCCAATCTTTTGTGAAAGAAAAAATTACTTAAGATAATGTGGCAGACTGGAAGTGAAATTAATTGATAGCTTTTATTGGTAATTGAACATTCTTATTTCAAAAAAGTGAATCATTGTTGCGCCAGTATATCAAATGGCAGATCAACATAGTTAGATCTGCCCCCTCTTTTTTTAAGAACTCCAGATCTCAGGCAAATGTTCTGTTAATAATGGCATGCCGCTAATAATGCAAACATGTTGTTTCAAGGTGACATTTGTAATCAGCCATGAGATGCAAAAGAGATAGCATCAGTTTATTCTCTTTCTAAATACAAAATAAAGTCACTTGAGTTAGCTTAATGGTTCGAGCTGAAACTTACCATGTTGTGAGTTTAATTTTCTGAACTCTTAGGAGAAATATCATTGAAGTTGAAAAACCTAGGAAAAAAAGGTTTAATTTAAAGGAAAAAGAGGGATGATTTGCTAATGAAAGAATTACTCCAAAATAACTCTTAAGTCTCTGCAGGTATTTCTGTGTGTTCTGTTTTTCAGTCAGTAGTGCTGTACCCTACTACTTTCACTGTGACAATAATTTGTCCTTTTTTTTTAGCTTTTACAATATGTATTTCTGTTGCAAAAGATACATTACAAGCTCTAAGTTGCACTTCTGCCTTGTTCCTAGGGAAGAGAGGAAAGATCCCTTGTCTGCCCTAGCAAGAGAATATGGAGGATCCAAGAGAAATGCCTTGCTGAAGTGGTGCCAGAAAAAAACAGAAGGATATCAGGTAACTGTAGAGCTGTTTAATGTAGCATACTTCTAGCTGCAACACATTAGAATCTGCTAATAGCATAAACCAGGCTGCTCCACAGTTGACTGCATAGATTGCAATGGCACTGGTATGTACTGTACTCTCTTCTTGGAACATATGCTACAAGTCCTAACCTAACTAACATTAATAGCTCTTCAGTCGCTTTGCTCCATGTTGATAATAGCTTTTTTCTTAAGGAGGCAGCTGACCTCCTATTGAGGCACTTTAAAACAGCCTTTTACAGATTTCACTTTTGAAACTGTAACTGAAACTTTAGCAACTTAAGGTTTAAATTAATGTTTCCCAAATGTAGTTAGAGTACCATTTCTTGGATTTCAGAGAATTTTTTTTGATAGGTAATTAGTGTAGGATTTTTTGGATCTTTCAATGTGCTCCCATTTAGTCTCTATTTAGGGACAGTTTGTTTTGTGAAGGTCACATTGTCTTGCACTTTGAACTTGGCTTTCTACTGCAGCTCCAGACTTTTTTTTTTCCAGTTAGTCCAAATGTTATCAGAAGCCAAAAGAACTAACAAGATAACTATCCAGAGTTCTCTTGATTACATTATTTTTTCAAAGGAACAGTGGCTTCAGCAAACTAAACCAGGATGTTAATAGTCTGGCCATGATGTATTTGTTTGGTTAACTTGTATTGAAAGTGTTTGGAGTTCCCAACACAATCCTCAGTTTAAGAACTTTACTCTTTCCATGACTTGAGACTCACAATGCAGGAGGAAGTTGAAAGCCGCATAACAGGATGATCGCCCATCCATAGGAAAAGTCGTCTTTCAGTACAATGGACAGGCTTGTGATATAAGCCCTCCCCCTTCTTCCTGTGGCACGTCTAGAACTAAACCGTGCTATTTCTGAGGATAAGCTTCTTTGTGGAAAGAGCCTTTCTCCTTCCCCACATTTTAAAAAAGGCAGGATGTTATATTTCTTTAGAAATCCTCTAAAACTGAATGCAAAAATATTTTCCCATATGGTCTTGAAATGAAAGATGAATTTGACAGCTTCCGTATCTGGTTGGGAAAAATAACAGAAAGTATTCCAAACTTTTCATTCTATAGTTGTGTGCATATGCAAGAGCATGCTTCTATTTATATGAATTGCTGCTTATAATTACTTGAGTTCTATAAACACTAGTAGAAGAATAGGTTTTGAGACTTACTGTACTTGCTTCAACAACTGTAATATGGTTCTCCGCTTGTGTTGCTACTGAGAAACCATAGCATATAGCATCTGTAGAACCTTCTTCTGAAAGAGTAGGATAATATCAGGAGGTGATATTAAGATATTCTTCTCCAAAAACTAACTCTGCTTTACACACACTCATTTTTCATTTCTTTGTTGTACAGAATTTGATGATTTTCAGCATCCCCTGACATTCAGTTCTGGTTGAACACTGTGTTAGTGGTGTTCTAATGTTTTAAACATATCTAGCATTATATTCATTGTGAATAGTGCTTATCCAGCTTTCTGGCATTTCAACAACGTTATCAATGCCAGGATCTTTTTTTTTTTTTTTTTTTTTAAATTTGAAGCTTTGCTTAGTTTTAATTTAATTTTAAAACTATGTGGATTCAAAACTGACAAGCAGTAAAAAGCATCAGAATAATTAACATCTCCCTTCCTCATTCAGTCCTACTTAAGGTACTCTAGCTCTCTTCCTTCTTCCCTGTCACCCAAATATTGGCAGGGTACCTTTTCTTACCTCCAGCTCCTCCTAGTGTTTTATATGCTGCCACAATTCCCTCTTATCCCCAGCATTTCCCATCATTATAATGTCTACTTTTCTTCTATACCACTGTTTGCTTTTGTTTGGTTTAGCATCTGGGCAAGAGCCAGCACATGCTTTTAGAGCTACCCGCACACTGACTGACCAGCCGTCTTCTGTCTCTGAGCTGTTGCGTGAGCCACACAGAACAGAGGAGTCTTAAATATCCCAGCCTTTTCCTCTATAGGAATAGCAGTAGGTCCACTTTCTATCTAGTCACCAATTTGTATCCTGTTACCAATTTAAATCAATGTCAATGTATTCAGTTACAAATACAACAGGTTAAAGGAAAAATACTTGCAAATTGAGTCTGTAACAAGCTCTAAAATTATCTGGAAGATTTTAACCATGATTTGGAAACAAGGAAAAGGAAAAAAGTCTTAGAAGGCTTTTGTTTCAGAATAATTCTTTTGTTAATTTTGTGCTCTTCATATTATATCGATTTGTTTCTAATGCAAATCTAATTAAACTACCTATATTTAAGTAAAACTCAGCCCTGTAAGCCAGTGTTTTTCAAGTATGTCTTTGTCAACATGGAAAGATGTGTTTACTTCTTCATCAATTGCCAACAGCAATCACTTTTTTGGTCTTGTTTTTTCCCTCTCACCTGGAGGTGATGTCTCATAGCTGTAGTTTTTTATGCATACATAAATATTTATAGAAAAATATACGTAAAATATTTATAGAAAATTATTTCAGCTGTTGGTATTTCATAGAGAAGATGGAACCATGCACATTGAGTTAAAACCCCATTTCTAATAGAGCCATGTTTGCTCCTGGCATTGCTTTACCTTTCATTTCTGGGATTATATTTTGCATTGGATATTGGAGAATAGTTGCATTTTTGGTTTATACATGGACTAAATAGTAATCACACAAATAGCCAGATAAAAATCTTAATTACAAAAATTTTGTTTAAAGTGTACAGAGTTATAGGTGAGCTGCCAGTGGCTTAAAATGTTAAAAACAAGGTATAATGTAGTTGGCTTACCCTTATTAATAAGCAGCAGCATAGGATTGAACGTTATTCTCTTTTGAGGCCAGCTGTAGTTCTTGAGCTGCTTTTTATTCCATGTGTTGAAAATACTAAAGAAGGGAAAAAAAAAAAAACAACACACCAAGGTCTGTACTGTTTCACAGAAGAAGGTTTCCTTTATTGACATGATACTTGTGGAGAATACAGTACTACTTAATTGCTTGTAACAACTAGTATTTTTTTTGTCTGCTCAAATGAAATGGAAGAAGAATAACTTCTGCTGTTGTAGCCCCTTTAGGAAATTACTTTCAAGCTTTTGATTAAAAGTCTTAAGTATCTCTGTTTTAGAAGCTTGAAATTTTGGGAGTGCTAAATAATTCAAAGATGATAGTGTGGTGAAGCTCTAATTTCAGCCCATTATAGTGGAAGGATTTTATTTAAAGCCCTTCACACACATTCACAGACATTTATGCCAAACTGCGCTTTCCACCTCTGACAAACATATACTTCCACATAGCAGAATTTTTAAAGGAATCTTAAGACATTCTCTTTCGTGAATGCGTTCTGATAAACAAGCTAATACCTAACCCTGTTAAAAAACCATGATAAATTACTTCATTGTACAGTTTTCTTGATTTATTCAAGCAAATCTGGAAGGGAATAAATGAATAGATTTCTTGAAATGTGGTGGTGAAACAACATTTAACTGTGTTCCAAATCTGGTATTTTTAAAGAGTACCTCAATAAAAAAATAAAGTTAAAATAGCCAATGAAAATAAGATAAATTCTTACTGATGTAAAAAACTGTATGGCTTTTTCTCTTACTATATTGTTGGTTTTAATATACATGCTGTCTGAATGTTGTTTGCAAGCAGAATTTCTCCTTGAAGCTTAGTTTTGGAGAATGGCAATCTGCAGAAGGTCACTGCAGAACTAACAGCAGGCAGGTTCTGTATTAACTTTCATCTAGAGCCTGTTCAGTCTAGACAGTATTGCACTCACTAAGTTACTGAGTTTAATTATATTCAGGACTGAACAGATCCCTAAGCCATGAAAGAAGAGAGTTGCTCCCTTAAGATAAGGGGTTTTTTTAAAGCATTTAGATAAAGGAGGAACGAATCACCTTTAGTTTTTAGATGAACAGGCACAAAATACTTGAAATTTGGTCATATGTTAGCTTACTCAGGATCTGACATACTGATTCAGAGTACAGTGCCAAGTGCTGCATTTTCCAGAGAGAAGAGAATCCTCCTGGCTCCTCTAAAATATGTGCAGTGTCATAAAGCAGTCATAAATTCCAGATATCTTCAAAGCATAAAGTAATCCCGTCCAGCTGTTATGGAGCATTTACCCTAGCTGGAACACAGCTACTTTCATTTTGAGTACACAACCAATAAAAGTCCAAAAAACGATGTGAGCATGCATGTTTCATGTTAAGAAGGGGACCAATAAACAGGATACACACATCCTTACCCATTCTTATCTACAGCAATATTTCAATTTATCTTCCATTTTCTGTCAGCATTCTGAGAGATAGCTCACTTCCAGAAGTCTGACACCAAAAAAGCAATTGTCACAAGATAGCAGCAAGAATAGACTAGATTTTTTTTTTTTTTTAACCTTTCTTTAAGCTTTCCACGCTTCCTAATTACAGATACACTGGAAGACCTCCTTAATGTAGCCTTGTAGTACCTGTCCTCTAATTCATGCAATGCTGCTTTTTCTGGAAAGACCACTTAATTTCTACCTCCTATACAGATCAAAGCTACATGTCTTACAAGAAATGTAAAACTTACTATCTACATGGCAGCAATAAACAATAAAATTGTTTAGTGATTGAGCAGTGTGATTGAGTATGAATGTATGTGTACCTAATGCTATGCTGAATGTACCTTGAAATCAAGCAATGTTTTCATTTGTACTCAAGTAGTAAGTGTAGAATAACAAAGCTAAAGGTAAAAATGGTTCTCGTTGCTTTTTTTTAAACCTGTTCTTATATACACGTCTTTATCAACACTAAGCTAGATCATATTCTACTCAAAATATTATATTGATTTTTAAAAAAGCACAAAAAGAGGAGAAGACTGTGTGCTTATGTAAGCCTATGTTCAAATAATGATTCCAGGGCGTGCATGCCTTCCCTGGTGCTGTCTGGTTGATTCATCAAAGTAGTAAGGCTGCCAAAACACTTCTCTCCTTGGTTTAAGCCGTGATGCTTTAGCCA